GTGAGTGGGGGGGCTGTCCCCTGCTCTGTGTGTCCATGAGTGGGGGGCGTCCCCTGTTCTATGTGTCCCTGAGTGAGTTGGGGGGCTGTCCCCTGCTCTGTGTGTCCCTGAGTGAGTGGGGTGGGTCTGTCCCCTGCTCTGTGTGTCCCTGAGTCGGGGGGCTGTCCCCTGTTCTATGTGTCCCTGAGTGGGTGGGGGGGGCTGCTGTCCCCTGCTTTGTGTCCCTGAGTGAGTGGGGTGGGGGCTGTCCCCTGCTCTGTGTCCCTGAGTGAGTGGGGGGGCTGTCCCCTGTTCTATGTGTCCCTGAGTGAGTGGGGTGAGTGGGGGGGCTGTCCCCTGTTCTTTGTGTCCCTGAGTGAGTGGGGGGGACTGTCCCCTGCTCTGTGTGCCCCTGAGTGAGTGGGGGGGGCTGTCCCCTGCTCTGTGTCCCTGAGTGAGTGGGGGCGGCCGTCCCCTGTTCTGTGTGTTCCTGAGTGGGGGGGCTGTCCCCTGCTCTGTGTCCCCGAGTGGGGGGGACCATCCCCTGTTCTGTGTTTCCCTGAGTGGGGGGGACTGTCCCCTGTTCTCTGTGTCCCTGAGTGGGGTGGGGGCTGTCCCCTGATCTGTGTCCCTGAGTGGGGGGCTGTCCCCTGCTCTGTGTTCCCGAGTGGGGGGGCTGTCCCCTGCTCTGTGTCCCTGAGTGGAGGGGCTGTCCCCTGCTCTGTGTCCCTGAGTGAGTGGGGGGGGCTGTCCCCTGCTCTGTGTGTCCCTGAGTGAGTAGGGGGGCTGTCCCCTGTTCTGTGTGTCCCTGAGTGGGGGGGACTGTCCCCTGTTCTATGTGTCCCTGAGTGGGGTGGGGGCTGTCCCCTGATCTGTGTCCCTGAGTGGGGGGCTGTCCCCTGCTCTGTGTCCCTGAGTGGGGGGGCTGTCCCCTGCTCTGTGTCCCTGAGTGAGTAGGGGGGCTGTCCCCTGCTCTGTGTGTCCCTGAGTGAGTGGGGGGGGCATCCCGTTCTGTGTGTCCCTGAGTAGGGGGGCTGTCTCCTGCTGTGTGTCCCTGAGTGAGTGGGGGGGGCCTTCCCCTGTTCTGTGTGTCCCTGAGTGGGGGGGCTGTCCCCTGTTCTATGTGTCCCTGAGTGAGTGGGGTGGGGGCTGTCCCCTGCTCTGTGTCCCTGAGTGGGGGGGCTGTCCCCTGCTCTGTGTCCCTGAGTGAGTAGGGGGGCTGTCCCCTGTTCTGTGTGTCCCTGAGTGGGGCGGCCGTCCCCTGCTCTATGTGTCCCTAGCCTGCTAGGTGCCCCATGGGGGCCAGGATGCTGAGGAGGGAGAAGTCTTCATGGGGACGGTGGCTCCTGTAATATGGAGACAACACTGGCTTCCTGGGGGAACAGCAGGGCAGGGTCCTTAGGTCCCACCATAGGTGCCCAGGCCTGGCTGAGATTCCCCAGTAACCCGAAGGGGCGCCTGGGACAGCCCGATGGCCCCTTGTCCTCCTGTCACCCTCGACCCTGGGCACTGCCCTCCTCAGCCTGGAAACCCGAGCTCCCTGACACCCCCGCCCCTCTCCCTGCCTGTGCCGGGAAGGCTGCTGCTCTCTCAGTCAGCCCTGAAGCCTTTCTTCCCGGCCTCCTCACCCCTCCCTGTGGTCCTTGCCAATCGCCGGAGCCCCGGAAGGTGGGAGACTCTTGGAGAGACGGGGCCCCGGATCCACAGCCCTGGGGTCCCTCACTCACGGGGTCAGATACGCTAACAAAGGCCAAGCGCCCTGCCAAGCAGTGTCCGGGATTGGGGCGGGCATGGGTGTTTGCCTCAGGTCCGGGCTCCGGGATGTCGTGAAGGGCAGGGCGCGGCTGCAGAGGGGACACTGGCTGGAAGCCGGAACTCCCAGCCTCAAGGGCGGAAAGTGTGTGGCCGGCGCGGTGTGCTGGGGCGGCCGTGGCCCCGTTGCCAGGCAGCACCTCCCTGTATGCCAGTTGCCATGGAAACCGCTTCCTGCCCATGTTGCCACGGCGTCCAGATGGCCTCGGGGAGCCTGCTGCGGAGGGGCTGCCCTGTGTCCTTGCCCCTCCTCTGCTGCCCAGGAATGGGCTGGGAGGGCAAAGAGGGCCAGAGGCTGGGACGCCCAGCATGGAGCCCTGAGTCCTTTCTGCGGGAGCCGGGCGGCGGCCCAGGGCAGGGGCCGGTTGGGGCTGTTCTCCTGTCCTCACTGCGCCCTTGAGGTTCCATGCCCCCAGCTTACTATTTTCTATTTTTATTTATTAAGACAGGGTCTTAATAAAGACCTTGCCTAGGCTGGAGTGCAGTGGCGTGATCACGGGTCGCTGCAGCTTCCAACTGGGTACGGGGGATCCTTCCACCTCAGCCTCCCGTGTATTGGGGACCACAGGTAGGCACCACCCTGCCCAGCTAATTCTTTATTATTTATTTTTCTAGAGACTGGGTCTCGCTATGTTGCCCAGGCTGGTCTTGAACTCCTGGCTCAAGTGATCTACCTGCCTCAGCCTCTCAAAATGCTAGTATTACAGGTGTGGGCCACCTCGCCCGTGCTAGGCTGCCCCCAAGCATATCTCAAAAGCCAGGAACAGACCCTGAGAGGATGGAACTCAGGATCACCGGACCAGCCACAGCCCTCAGAGGACCCCATCTCTGGTGTCCCCTATGCTCCTGGCCCACACCCACCCAGGCTGCCTGTCAGGGTCTGTTCACTCACCAGCTCTCAGAGCTACCCTACATGGAGGTTTGGGAGTCCCAGAAAACCTGGAAGAAATGGCAGTGGGCCCTTCATGGGCACTGCCCCTTTATGTCCACCCAGAGCTGGGCTGTGGCCTAAGGTGTGATGCTCCTTTGTTTCAGGAGGGTAAGAGGGGCATGTGGCCTTCGGTCAGGGCTCGTGGGGGCTCCAAGGGTGGTCTAGGGCCTCCTGGGTTCCCCTGGACTCACAGCTAAGAGGAGGGGTCCAAGGGGCACTGTGTGAGGGACGCGGTGCCTGGCAGAGTGCCCCGTCCTATCCAGGGCCAGGGTGGTAAGTGGACACATCCTCTGCCTCCCCACCCTGTGGGGCACCCCTGAGGGGACAGAGAACAGATGGGGGCTGGGTCCTGGGAACGGGGTGTAGGGGAAGGGCAGAGTGTTGGGGATGCTGGGCCCACGACATCCCTGTCCCTGGGACCTTCCCATGTCAGAGGCGAGGCTAGGGATGTAAGGACGCACCCTTTGTTAGCCCTGGCCCCAGCACGGGCAAGCCACTCCCAGCGTGAGGGAGATCGCAGGTCATTTTCTCTCCCTCCCGAGTGAGTCTCTGGACACTGCTTCTCACGTTTTTTATTTAAGAATCAGAAAGATAATAAGAATGTCAAGGAAAAATCCTCTCACAGACAATGCAGCCACATAAATGACTGTCAGCCGGTGTGTCCAGGGCTCCAAGGCCCCAGGAGGTGGCTGTGCTGGGACTGCCAGGCCCCTGGCTCCAGGGTTGCCAGGGTTGAATTGAACATGCCCACCCCTGCCCAGGCCCAGTGACGGCCTGCCCCTGAGGAGCCCACCAGCTTGGCCAGTCCACCTTTTTGGCGCTCCCTGCCCACCTGCCCCTTCTAGTCGGACAGTGGAGCCTGGGAAGACAGTGTGGCAAAGTGCCTGATGGTCAGTGCCAAGGTCATCTCCCAGGTCCTTTCAAGAGCTAGGACTCCTGCCCCGTGCCCATCTGGCATCAATTGGGGTCTAGGCTGCGCATTGGAGCAGGAAACACAGTGCTGGGCTGTGAGCTCCTGGGGGCTGTCCCTGTGGCCCAGGACCCGGCTCCTCGGTTGAGGGGGAAACCAGGGGCAGGTGAGGAGCAGCAGCCCCACTCCAGAATCCCTCCATGCTCACCCCTGGGTCTCCGGGAACTTGTGTGCAGATAGGGGCTGGAGCTGTGGTGCAGTTCCCAGTCTTACCACGAGATGACGACATGCCCCTGCAGACGCAGTGCCCAGAGCAGGCCAGGCGTTCTCGGCAGCTGCAGCCCCAGGGCGTCCACCCAGGAGAAGCACTGGCAGGGCGGGGGCCGTGCTGGGGGGACCCCCTCCCCACTTGGATCTGGAGTTCCTATGGGCCTAGGGCAGGGGTGGCTGGTAGCCAGAAGTCCCCTTGCTGAGTTGAGGGTGTCTGTCCCACGTTTCACATGGAGAGGAATTATCCCAGACTCACCTGGCACTGTCCTGGGGCCCTTGCCTACCCCTCCCAAGGGACTGGGCTCCTGCCTTGGGACCTTCCCAAATATAGTAGGCTTCGGGCAGCCACGGCCTGGCCTCAAGTTGACCCACCTGTCAGTGGCCAGCTGGGGCTGGAAAGGGCTCCCAGCTCCCGTCCAATGTCACGACTGCCCCTGAACAGCGTGTGGCAGCTGCTGTGGCCTAGACCAGTGAGTTTGTGGCTGGAGAGTGACCCAGATGTAGACGTGGCTCTCAGCTAGGAGAGTCCATCTGGAGGAAGAACCAGGAACCAGAGGGATGCTGGGTTCCCAGCCTGCAGGAGGCCAGATTAGGGTTAGCAGGGCCCCTGCAGGGACTCCAAGAGGCAAACCACATGGAGAGTCACCTGAGAGCGGATGACAGAGGCTGCATCTCCAATTGCTGCTTCAGCCATCAGATCAGGGGAGGGCGGGAGGCTGGCCCTGGCTCTGCCCTGGGAGATGCCACCGGGCCTTGGTCTGGGGTGGAGGGCTGGCAGGAGGCTGGGTATGGCCACTGCTCTGGAGTGACCATAGATTTCTGCCCTGCTTGCCTCATTCTTCTCCTGAGGGCCCCAATGGGACACTTGAGAGGGTTACTGGGGCCAGGGCTGGGGAGCGCTCTCAGCGCTGGCCTTCTGGGGCCCTGTGTCCTCTCTGCCCCTTTCTGACCTGGACCTGGGCTGGGGCCTCTGCCTTCCCCCAGGCCTGGAGACAGGCCATTTTGGAGGCCCTCAGGCCCGACGAGCCTGCTCCTTGGAGCCAGGCTGGGGGCTGGGCTGTATCCTGGTGGGATGGGGGAGCTGGAGTGTGGGGTGGGAGTGGGGCTGGGAGCAGGTGGAGGTTGGTGCCTCAGGCTCTGGGGAATGGACCTGGGATGACTGGAGGGTGGAGAAGGGCCTCTCTCAACCCTGGGCTTTGGGGTGTGAGCCCAGCCCTGCTCCCAGGCAGGCAGCCTCCTGCAGCCCCAGGTTCCCATGTTGATGGAGCTGTGATGAAAGGTGCCGGGGCCACCCTTGCCTTTGCATAGACGCACAGCCGAGAAGTCACACTCTGCTGCCCAACTGTGGGGTTTCAAGCCCCACTGCAGCCTCCAGGCGGGCCCTTGGACAGCAGGGCCTCTTGGGGGGAGGAGGGGACACTGGGAATTCGGGGACCAGGTGGGGAAAAGAGAGAAGGGAGGCGCACAGTTGTGTGGGCACCCGCCCCTTCCTGAGCTGACTGTGGTCCTCCCAGCGCACCCCACTCCAGTCTTCTGGGCCGGCTGCCAGGGGGTGCTGCTTGAGGCCGATGCCTCCCTAGAAGAAGGTCTCACCTTCAGAGCCAGCCTTTGAGGCCCCTGGTGACCTAAGCCTGTTGCTCTTGACCTTGAGTTTGCCTAGGTCAACTGAGAGCCTGCTCTTTGGGCCTCAGTTCTCCCATCCCCAGGGAGCAGGTCCTTTGTTCCCTGACAAGACCCCTCCTCGCTGAGCCACCACTGCTGCCAGGGTTCTGATGGGCGGATGTCCCTCAGAGGGTGGCTCTGGGCCCTCAGGCAACCAGCTACTCGGGTGGGGAGTGGTTTGCATGTGAATGGTGTCACTCTTGGGTCCTTTGGTTGAAGCTGGCTCTGCTGAGCGCAGCCTGCAAACATTTTTAGAAAAACTCAATCCACAGGCTGGGGATTTCTGCTTCCCCCCAACCCAAACGGCCCCCAGCCAGCCAGAGAGCCACTAGAATCCAGTTGCTAGCAGCTGCCAGCAGGAAACCCACTCACAGATGGGCAGCCCATCCCCCCAGCTGGCTCCACCTCTCCGCCCCTCCGCTGACCAACCCGGCTGCCCCTCGGGTGGGTGTGGCCGCCCTGCTGCCCCTACCTGCTCCCTGACCCTATGCTGGGCCTCGCCTCCCCCGGAGCCACTCTGCTGCCTGACCTTGTGATGTCATGGGTCCTCTGGGCATTGGTGCAGTCGGTGGGGTCAGTTTTGGCCAGCAGGTGGGGGGCGGTTGACATAAATCCTCCTCCCTCTCTGCTGTTCCGCTTCCCTCCTCCTGCCCAGCTTCCCTGCCGTTTCCCCACTCCGGCCCCAGGTTGCACTGCTCAGAAAGGTGTTGCTGCCCGCTCGTGCACAGGTCGGATTTTCTTGGGAGCTTGGGCTGAGACCCTGACCGGCCCTCCCACCAACCACCTACACCACCACCCAGCCAGCCAGCAACAGGACCAGGAGTGGTCAGGAGGGAGCCCCCGCGACCACCCACCGCGCCACCCCAGCCAGCCAACTCTGCCCGCCCAGGGCCGTGAGCTGGAGATGCCAGGACTCCCTGGAGGCAGTGTGGGGCATTCTTCTTAGTAAGTCCTGAGTCGATGATAAAGGGCAGTATCAACCCCTCGCTAATGCGCAGTGAGCGGGTTCCCATACAGGGGAGACGTTTAATTTATCTAGGGAACTGGACGAAAGTTATAAAAATGGTAATTTCTTGGAGATTCAATTACGTGTTTTCATTGTTACCCTCAGTAATCAAGGAAATGATTTTTCACAAAAGGCTGTGAGATGATACCGATCTCAGGAGAGGATCTGGGCTGGGTGGGGGCTTTGGGGATGAAAAGGAGGGCAGCGTCTGCTGGGGACAGGCAGGGCAAGTGGAGCTGAGCTGCTCGGTCCCCCAGCTCCTCCAATCCCCCAGCTCCTCCAGCCCCC